TACAAATAAGTGTAGATGCTCAAGGTTAACAAACCCCAGTCTGCTAACTCAACTTCTACTAACTCGGCTTATGCTGCAGCACCGACATACCCTCCCTCTCCCAGGGTGTCTTCCCTGCGGTCTTAGCTCAAGTTAAGCTGGTGTACATAAGAACGGCCGTACTGGGTCAGACCAAAGGTCCATCTAGCCCAGTAGCCTGTCTGCCGACAGTGGCCAGCACCAGGTGCCCCAGAGAGGGTGGACCGAAGACAATGATCAAGCGATTTGTCTTCTGCCATCCCTCTCCAGCCTCTGACAAACAGAGGCCAGGGACACCATTTCTATCCCCTGGCTAATAGCCTTTTATGGACCTAACCTCCATGAAATTATCTAGCTTCTCTTTAAACTCTGTTATAGTCCTAGCCTTCACAGCCTCCTCTGGCAAGGAGTTCCACAGGTTGACTACACGCTGTGTGAAGAAGAACTTTCTTTTATTCGTTTTAAACCTGCTACCCATTCATTTCATTTGGTGTCCTCTAGTTCTTCTATTATGGGAACTAATAAATAACTTTTCTTTATCCGGTGTTACCCATGACTCCCAGCTGCCCATGAAAAGTTCTAAGTGATGCTTTAAACTGGAACTAGCTCACGGGCCACGGGATGGCTTGAAGCTCCAGGACTACAACTGGCTGATACTCCGGCTTGTCGTAGTGGAGCTATTCCATCCCCTGCAGCAACTCACCAGCAGCTAAGCCAGGCCCTGTGCTGCCAGTCCCAGCGCTCTGGGTAATTCGGGGTGCTTTGGCTTGTGGCCACGAGGCTCGCTTGCTAGCTGGTGCCGTGAAAATAGCGTCTTGATGTAGCTCAGATCTCCTGTGTAATGTGCATGATGGGCAATGGAAGTGTTCTGCCGGCAGGTCTGATTACAATATTCCTTAGCGCAGGATAGGCCAAGTGGGGTGGGGCAATTGCGCTGCATTGGCTGGAGAGGAGTTAAAGCAGGCAGGAGGGAGCCTGCACGGAGCCCTGGCCAATTGGAGAGGAGCTTTTAAGGAGCCAACCAGAGGACCGTTTACTGGGGCAGCCCTATATATAAGGAGCTGCCCAGCAGAGTGAGAGAGAGCCCTGATCACAGGTGGTTCCTGGAGTGGCACCCTTAGGAGAGCAGAGCCAGGGAGGCTCCAGCCCTTGCTACAAAGGCCAGGAGGGTGCAAAGGGTCACAAAGGAAGTAGCCGTGAAGGAGGGCAGGACAAGGCTGCTGCTGGCGGGTCCCTGGCCTGAGACCCAGAGTAGGGGTTGGATCTGGATTCCTCTCCCTTTGCACAGTGCCTAGCCACCATTGATGTGAGGCCTGACGCTTTCCCCCAAGGCTGCAGCTGGCCAGCACTGGACTGAGCACAGCTGATAACCCCAGGGAGGGAGAGAAGAGACGGTTGCAGCGGGCACTGTCCTGGAAGCCACGGGACTCCAGAGCGAGAGCGTGGAGGGGTGAGACATGGCCCCAAGGGGCTGCCCTGCTGAGTAAGAACTAATTCCCCGGAGCAACCAGCAGGCAGTGCCACAGTGAGTCCTGGTCCGTGGCATCTGGTGAGCTGCATTGCCTGGTGTTGGAGAAGGGACTGATACTGAAGCCTGATGCTCTGGTGGCAGCAAAGGTCATGGTCTGGCCTCACCAAAGTCAGCCTGCATGTGCACAATAGTGCACCCCTAGGGAACACCTCAGTGCAACGTTTATCCCCAAACTCTTTTCACCAGTGCATCTCCAAGCACTGCGGTATCACCACCTGCATTTTACGAACGGCACCACGGAGGGGAAGTGGCTGTTATCCCCAGGTCCCAGCCCGCGCTGTCGGGTGCAGGACTAGAACCCAGGTCTTGGAGGTGCCTGGTCCGGTGCGTTATCCCCCCAGGCAGTGCTGCCTCTGGGAGAGGTGAGAAGGCAGCAGTTCTGGCTCATCAGGGCTGGGTTTCTCTGTCTTTGGGCTTCTTTTCAAGCTCCAGATGGGAGCTAGGCTTCAGCTCATTGAGGCTAGCGCAGGGGTGGGGAACCTACGGCC